TCTTCCAATTGTTGCTACTTTGTCATTATTATTAATTATTATAATATTATTACTATTACTATTATTATTATTTAGACATGAACTTGTCAACTAAACATTCAAATTGACTGGCGCTGATGGTTGACACGGGTTGCTACCAGCATCCTAGGTGTCAACCAGGTACCTCCTTAAAATATAAGATGTTCCGAGTAGCGCAGTTTTTTGTAACATTACTGGAGTTATTGCAGGAAGCTGAAGTTTCTTGAAGTATTTTGCAAAGTTTTTGGACATAGTTCCCAGTGCCCCGATGACAATGGGTATCACTGTTACACGTTTCATCCATAATCATGCAGTTTCGATGGCCAGGTTGCAATATTTTGTAGTTTTTTCCAGTTCTTTTTCTTCAACTCTGACATCTCCTGGTGTAGCGATATCAATCAGCTGTACGCTTCAGTTCTCTACAACTGCGATATCTGGTGTGTTGTGTTCCAAATGGCGATCTGTCTGTGTCCGAAAGTCCCACAAGATCTTCACCCTCTCATGCTCGACAACTTTTCCCACCCTATGTTCCCACGACTTTTTGGACACAGGCAAGTCGTATTTTTTACACAATGCCCAGTGGATTAATTTAGCAACTTGGTCATTATTTATTTATTTATATTATTATTATTATTTTAAAAGCAGCCTTAATTTACAAGCGCAATCACGCTTTCTACGCCCCCGCCCCCCCATTATAAAATTAAACACAGGTACAAGCAGAGGCTGCAATGGTGAGCACACGCTTGGCTTAAGGCCAGCTTCTTTGACGTCATCCAAATTTCTGTGTCATGTTAGAAAGAAAACACAACACGCATGCATGCCATCGACCGTATTTGTAACCCAACCCAATCCAGCTGATCAGTTCCTGAAGGCCCCACAAGCTGTGCAGAACCTCTTTGGGGGTGAGGGGGACAGACCCACCCTCCATCCCTCACCCCCATCTGAGAAAACCAAGTTAAGTCAAAAGCCTTGCACAGAACAGGCCTGCCGTTGTGTTAAACCGAAAAAACCACACACCCAGACGTGCTGAGAAAAGAATATCACGGTGTTTTATTCGCGGGCCGAGTTTTTCCATGCTGAGAACAGACAGCTCCTCCGAGCCAACGCCTCCCAAATTTGCCGTGCCGAACATCAGCCCGTTGAAAAAAAGTAAAAAACAAACAAACAAACGAAACGCATCCCCTGGGTTCGACGTGCCAGCCAGTCCTTTCGTATCTTTTGTGCAGTGTCTCTTCGCGGGAGAGGTTCCCACGAAGCCAACGCAGAGACTGAACACGGATCAGCTGCCAGAAAGAAATCTGGAAACACTTGGGGGCAACAACGGTTGGGGGGGCCGGAACATGTGTTCGCATAACGAGCGCATGAGAGCCGAGCAATTAGGAAAAGATGTTCTAATAATTAACCAGTCAGCAAACAAGCGCTGGATTCAGTCAGATCCTCCAGCATGTGTCCCTGCGATGCTGTAGGTCAATACGCAAGTGGGATTGTTCAAAACACTCGCTGGAAATTTCAGAGGGCGGCTGCGAAAATGTTTTTTCCCGCGAACCCCCAAATTCCAGAGGATTTGATCCCGCGCAGCTTAAGAGCCGCTTCTTCTTCCTAAGAACCTCGTTATTTGCTACATAGCTGCTTTTCAACACTGTGACTATCCTTTCATTGATTACAAAAAAAAGAGAGACAGAAAAGACATAGTATAAAATGCCTGAACAACTTAAATATTATTTATAGATAAGATATTTTTTTTTAAAAAAAAAAAGCTTAGTAAAAAATATAGATTTGTCCAAACCAAAGAGAATGCTCTGATATGGTGGAAAGTGACAAGGGGCGCCCCAAAATTATCCCAGTCCCTTAATAATATTGAAAAAGGCTTGTTCTGGATTTTAACACTTGCATCGTTCAGTTTTGAACTGAGCCATTGTGCCTTTAAGACTGAATTTTTCAGTCTTTGGTTAACGTTCAAAATGGTTCCGCAGTTCCATCTTGAACCACGTTTATATCCTGTAAGGAGGATTTGAAGAAGTGTGTGTGTGTGTGTGTGCATGTGTGTTGGTGAGGGCTTTACACACAGAGTGCCTCACATTTATTGTCTGGCACAGCCAGCTCACACTTTGCAGGGAAAACAACATTGGAAGGTTGACATTGATAGTCAAAAATCCCACATCTGTCTGTCTTTAAAATAGGATTTAAAGCAGCGTTTTTCCACCGTGCCAACTTGAAGACGGGTGGACTTCATCTCCCAGAATTCCCCAGCCAGTCATAGCTGGTTGGAGAATTCTGGGAGTTGAAGTCCATAAGTCTAAAAGTTGCTACAGTTGAGAAACATTGCTTTAAAACATCAGCTCCAAATATGTACGCACACACACACACATACACACGCACGCACACACACACCTGGCAATTAGCCAAGGGTTCAAATCCATACAACTGAAGCTTTGCCGACTTAAGAGACCTGACCTCAGCTTATCCACCTTGCAAATCTCTTGGTCCAATGTCATTTAAGTGGGATTTTCAACTACGAGTAACAAAAACCTGTGGAATAAATTCTACGCCAGCCTAGAACTGCACTCCAGGAATTGCAAAACAGGGGGAAAAAAAATGAAAGGCCACTCGGAAGGGATTAAACTCAATGCCTTTCCTTCCTGTTGCCTAGGGCTGGACTAGATGACCCTCGTGGGTCCCACAATTCTAAGATTCTGTGGATTAAGAATCAAGCACATGGGCATAACCCAGATATCCTCTTGCCTTTCCTTACAACTTTTCCAACACTTTCCCTTCGTCTCACTTCGTCACGCCCTTTTAACAACCTCCAGCCACTTCCTCCTCGCTTATCCCCGCCGATGTCCAGCCTTATGGAAATCCCAACTATTAATGCGTTCATCGCAAGAAATTAACGCATTCCAGCAATGCAACACAAGCTTTGCTCTTTCACTGTGGATTCCTTGCAAGAATAACCCCGGATTTTTGAACTGCAGACGCTGCAAACGGCCGTGCTGATTTTACAATGGCCCAACTCTGTGCATCTTGCTCAGAATCTAAGGATCGCCATTTCAAATTAGCCCTTTTACTGAATCTATCTTTGGGGTCTGGGGGTTTATCTAGAGTTGGAAACCATGGTTAAAACCCTTGAAAACAAGCCTTTTTCAATGATGGCAGAGCAGGTAACTGTAAATACTGGATACCTTTTCCATCGAAGGAAAGGAATTCAAAAGATACTGCTTGCTCTAATAGTGAGTTGTATAAATGAGGTTTCCTGATCATGGCCACTTGAAGATGTGTGGACTTCCACCCCCAGAATTCCCCAGCCAGAGGAATTCTGGGAGTTGTAGTCCACACGTCTTCAAGTGGCCAAGGCAAAAACCCAGCAGCGGGTACCCCCCTGTCCAGCATCCCAACACCTTAAAATTGCATTTTTCCTTCTGCTTTGAACCATCTCCTTGTGCTACGCAGCAATACAGTATATCAATTCTTCAGCCTTATTTGTTGTTTTTTTTTTCAAAAAAAGAAAGCAATGCCATTAATGAGATAAATCTAAAATACTGCAGGGGTCCCAGATCAAGGGAGAGGTTTGGGGCAACCTGACCTCGCACATGGGCGAGGCACTTATGGGGTGGACTAAGGTTACAGTGGGGCAAGTGCTACTTTTTTGGAGAGGAGAAATTTTCCACGTGTTTCGTTCGCAAAGTAATTTTATAAAAAGACCAGGCAGCAGCTAATCTTATCAAATAATAGCTGGGTTGGTCTGCTTTATTAAATAAATGCCTTATTGGAATCCAAGTAAATTGGACAAAATTGGACTAAAATATAGTCCAAGGTAGAGTGAGCTATACTCAGTGACGGTTTAATCTTTGCAGTTAACTGCGGAAAGGAGACCAAGAGGTGAGTCACGCATTATATGGTGAGAAAGTTAGCCTGCCTTTCATGACCTTCTTGGGAAGGCAGTGACGGGGAAGCTCCTGAATTACTACATATCCCATGTGTCATTACTACTGATCCCATTCTGAAGTCCTTGGTCATGCCTGTGTCTTCCATGCTAACATTTCAAGACCTTGAAGTAAGCTTTCCAATGTGTCGGAAGCTCCACTCTCAGCTCAAGCCCTTTTTAAAACGGTGAGATATTTTCTGCACGAGATTTGTTCCAAGCTCCTTGTAGGAACTTTACCCCTCAGCTACTCCACAGCCAGCTGAGCCCCATCGCCATGGCTCAAGGGGTCACAAACTTATCTCTTCCCCTTTGAAGCTCAAATGTTAGCATCTGCGCTGTTTTTTATTCGACCCAAGTAGTCCTCAAATTACAACCACAGTTGACATCAGAATCTCCGCTGCTGTTAAGCAAATCACGGTCGTTGCTAAGTGAATCGGGCGGTCATTAAGCAAACTCCATTGATTTTACTTGTCAGAAACTGGCGGGAAGATCACAAGCAGTGATCAAGTGATCCCGGGATGCTGCAACTGTCATAAAAGACGGTTGCCATGTGCCCAAATTGCGATCATGTGATTGTGGGGACTGCTACGACAGTTGTAACTGCGAGGACCAGCCACGAGTCATTTTTTTTCAGTGCCATTGTAATAGTCACTAAAAGAATGGATGTAAGCAGAGGACTACCTGTACAGCTGCATTCCAGGCTCCTCTCCAATTAATACTACCATGTTTCCCTGAAAAATAAGAGCAGGTCTTATATTAATTTTTGCTCCAAAAGACGCATTAGGCCTTATTTTTCTGACTGGGGCTTATATTTGGGGAAATACGGCACTAAATGCCTCCATCTGGCTTAGGGATAGGTAACCTTGGCTCTTTTATGACTCGTGGACTTCAACTCCCAGAATTCCTGAGCAAGCCATGCTGAGGGAAAAGGGAGAGGTTTCCAAGCTGAGCCATGCTGGCTCAGGAATTCTGGGAGTTGAAGTCCACAAGTCATGAGGGGACCATAGTTCCCCTATGCTGGCTCAGGAATTCTGGGAGTTGAAGTCCACAAGTCATGAGGGGACCATAGTGCCCTCATGCTGGCTCAGGAATTCTGGGAGTTGAAGTCCACGAGTCATAAAAGAGCCAAGGTTGCCTATCCCTGATCTGGCTCATGATCTTAACTGGGGCTTATTTTTGGAGTGGTGCTCATATTATGAGCGTCCTGAAAAATCTTGCTAGGGCTTATTTTCCCGGTTAAGTCTTATTTTTGGGAAAACACAGTAGATTCACTGTCATAGCTTTGCCCAAGGAATCCTGGGAAACCGAACGGGAAGCATGCTGAGCAGGCCCATCCAACTCGAATTTCCCAGCATCCTAGAGAAGAGATGACAGCGGCCCCATTTTGGGGGGGCTGCCCCAAACCTCTCCCTAAATGAAACATTTACCCAGTGATACAGGCGCTGTAATAAACAGCGCTGCTTGCATCGGACAAGGCTGAGATCAGGCTGTTGTCCTCACAGCTCCGGGGAGTCACTTTGGACACGGAAACATGATAGGCGAAACCGGACGGATCCGGACGAGTCCTGCTCATATTCAAATACTGGTCAAACTCGTTGCGGTCCACTTCTGTCCACAGCTCGTGGGGGTTCAAGTGCTCCACGCCCTCCAGCTGGTGGGACTCGGGAGGAGGGGACAGCTGGCCCAGGTGGGCCGACAGCCCGTTGGCGGCGCCCGCGGCACAGATCTGGTTGTAGTACATCCCAGACGGCTGGGGAGTCCTCATGGCTTCGGCCAGGTGGGAGGGCGGGTTGGGAGGGTACCCCATGACCATGTTCCTCCCCAGGTTTTTCTCCGGGGAAAACTCCATCGGCGGTGGAGGAGGAGGAGGAGCAGGGTGGTGGTAACCCCGAAAGGACATCACGTTGCAGTCGTCCTGCATGTGGGGCGGGAAAAAGGCGGGCTCCGCCTGTTCGAGGACGTCCAGAGGGGACATTTCCGGGGTCGGCAGGCCGTAGTTCTCCATCTCTGACCCCATCGAGCGCAGTTCTCGGAAGTGGTTCAGTGGGGGAGGCTGGGAGTGGCCGAGGCCGCCGCTGGCGGTGCTGCGGTGGCCCATGGCAAAATTCTCGCCGCAGGGCTGGGGCAAGTTGTGGAGAAGGATGCTCGGTTCCATCCTCTTGATTTTCTTGGCCTGCTTCTTCCGGCGGGGACGGTACTTGTAATTGGGGTGGTCCTGCAGATGCTGGATCCTCAGCCTCTCGGCCTCCTCCACGAAGGGGCGCTTGTCAGTGGCGCTCAAGGCTTTCCACGCCTGGCCTGGGAGTCCGAAAGAGAAGAGAGAGGGCACGTTAAAACATGTGAGGAATGGTTGCAGGGATTGGGTATGTCTAGTTTAATGAAAAGAAGGACCAGGGGGCACATGATAGCTCTCTCCCAACATTTCAAGGGCTGCCACAAAGAAAAGGGAGTCAAGCTGTTCTCCAAAGCACCTGAAGGCAGGACAAGAAATGGAAACTAACCAAGGAGAGAAAACAACCTGGAACTAAGGAGAAACTTCCTGACAGCTGTGGACAATTTATAAGAGGAACAGCTTGCCTGCAGAAGTTGTAGGTTCTCCATTGCCGGAGGATTTTAAGAAGAGATTGGACAGCCACTTGTCTGAAATAGAACAGGGTTTCCTGCTTGAGCAAGGGGGTGGATTAGATGACCTCCAAGATCCCTTCCAACTCTGTTCTATTATTCGGAAGATGCTGCTGTCCCACTAACAGCCAATAGTTCAAGGCTTTAGCAGATAAAACTGGCCAGGCCGTTTGCACATGACTGAAGCGTGCAAAGTTCCTGCCCCAAAATGGATCAACTGTATTTACATACAGGTAGTCCTCAACTTACAGCACAATTGGGAGCAGAATGTCCATTGCTAGGTAAAATGGTGGTTAAGTAAACTGTGCCCCCTTTTTTTTGCCACGGTGGTTAAGCAAAGCATTGCAGTTGTTAAAGAGAATCACGTGGTCCTTAAGCAAATCTGGTTTCCCTCATCGATTTTGCGTGTCGGAAGCAGGCTGGGAAACTCGCAAACGGCACACATGACTTTAAGATCCGCAACCGTCGTGAGTACATGACGGCTGCCAAGTGCCCGAATTTTGATCACATGACCGTTGGGATGCTGCAATGGTTGTTTGCTGCAAGGACCAGTTGTTAAGTCACATTTGTAAGCGCTGTTGTAGCTTTGAGTGGCCGCTAAACATACAGATAGACAAGGATTCTCTGTATACCACAGGGGTCTTCCAACTTGGCAACTTTAAGGCTTGTGGACGTCAACTCCCAGAATTCCTCAGCCAGCCAACCGGCTGGCTGAGGAATTCTGGGAGTTAAAGTCCACAAGTCTTAAAGTAGCTAAGTTTGAAGACTCCTGGTATACCACTTTGAGAAGTAGTTTAAGAGAGTAAGTCTAAGCAGGGATGGCCGAAGGGGTGGGGAGGGGTCCCTAAAGTCATAATAGCAGTTGCAACCATGGGGGTGAGCCATGTTTATTTTAAACATGCAACACGGTTGCAATACATGCAAGAATGGGACAGGGCTGCAATTGTGCAATGGTGACCCCGCCCCTATCTTGAGGTTTTGGACCCTCGTCCCCTGCCCCCTGAATCATGACCTGAGCTCTGAAGAATTTGCTTGCTTGGTTAAGATTCTGTATCAGGGTCTCTAGCAGATCCAGGGTGTCCTCTATTTACAACAATTCATTTAGTGACTGAAGTTACAACAGCCCTGGGGGGGGGGAAGTGACTTATGGACGTTTTTCACGCTTACGACCGTTGCAGCCTCTCTGTGGTCGCGTGATCAATATTCGGGATGCTTGGCAACTGACTCGCGTTTGTGACGGGTTGTACTGTCCCCGGGGTCACGTGATCCCCAGAAAAGTCATAAAGTGGGGCAAAACTCACTAAACTAATGTCTCGCTTCGTAACAGAAATTTGGGACTCGGTTGTGGTCAATAAGTCGAGGACTTATGGCGAAGTGATAATTTGGGGGGCACTTTGGCAACTAATAAGCTTAGCTGCCAATTCTTTTCACAGATTGCAATCCGGTTCTAATGAGATGCACGGAGTTATTTGTGATCCATGAGTCTCTACAACTGAATCTCTCTCTGTCTTTAAGGTACGATAGTGTTTTGAGAAACGCACACAGTTCATAAGAACACTCGTTGTATCTTGAATTTAGCTATGGAGGTGTCTTTTAAAGGACCCTCTGCCTTTTTTTCCCCCCAATAAGGATGGATAAAGAGAGGCAGTTTAGTCTAGGTGAGAAAGGAGGAGACTGTGAGTTCTAGTTCCGCCTTAGGCATGAAAAGTGGCTGAGTCACTTTGAGTCAATCACCAGGAGACAGTGAGTTCTAGTCCCACCTTAAGCATGAAAGCTGTTGGGTGATTTTGGGCCAATCACTAGGAGATTGGGAGTTCTAGTCTTGCTTTCGGCACGAAAGCTGCTGGGTGACTTTGGGCCAATCACCAGGAGACAGTGACTTCTAGTCCCGCCTTAAGCATGAAAGCTGTTGGGTGACTTGGGCCAATCACTAGGAAATTGGGAGTTCTAGTCTTGCTTTAGGCACAAAAGCTGCTGGGTGACTTTGGGCCAATCACTAGGAGACAGTGAGTTCTAGTCCCGCCTTAGGCATGAAGGGATAGGCTGGATGACTTTGGGCCTATCCCCAGGAGAGTGTGAGTTCTAGTCCCATCTTAGGCGTGAAAGCCAGCTGAGTAACTTTGGATCAATCACCTGGAGACCGTGAGTTCTAGTCCTGCCTTAGGTATCACAGCCACTTGGATGACTTTGACCCAATCACTGGGCGTTCTACTCCTGCCTTACGCATGCAAGCCAGTGGGGTGACTTTGGGCCAATTGCCAGGAGACCGTGAGTTCTAGTTCTGCCTTAAGCAAGAAAGCTGACTGGATGACTTTGAGCCAGTCATTCTTTCTCAGCCCAACCTACCTCACAGGGGTGTTATTGCTGGGAAAATAGGAGAAGGAAGTTGTGTCGGATATGTCTGTCGTCTTGAGTTATTTGTAAAAAGTAATAAAAGACGGGAAACAAATAAAATTTAATTTAATTTAAAAAAACACAGTGTCCTTATTCTATCACCCCAAATGCTGCATTCAAAAAAAACTTAGTTTCTTTCACTCAGCCGTAAATTGCAAAGTCAGTCAGAGGGTTTTGTGGATTCTGGAAGGGGCAACTGATTTTTTAAAGGTGCACAACTTCCAAATTGTGACTCACTACATGAAGGGGCGCGCTGTTTAGGGAACATTTTCCAGAAACTGTGAGGCTGTAATTTGGACCTTTTTCAAACCTTATGAGTGAGCCAAGTTCCACTTTAAAGAGAGAGAGAGAGAGAGAGAGAGCGAAAATAATAATAATAAGATACTCTACAGCAAGTTAATTTCACTACAATCCCTTCAAGCATTTAAAGACAAAAAATGGCTCAGAGACAATAAACACTAGAGCGTAAAAATATTTCTTTAAAAAAAAAAAGCTCTTAAGTTCATTTTCCATATTGTCTTGGTTAATATCGAAAGCCAAATTGTGTTGTCTATAGCGGTTACAATGGAGATCCGATTTAGAAATGGCGCTTCCCCAACAGTCGGTCCCATAAAGAGAGTGAAGAAAAGGGATCAAAATATGGATAAAATTATTGATAGCATGGGGAACGGAGAATACCCGGGATTGGCCAAGAACACTGAATAATGGGAGATTTCCTTGCACGCTGGAGATATTAAAATGTGAAACTCACGGCCACAAGATAGTTAACAGCCAATAACTTCCAGGAGGATCAAGCTATCAATAGCTGCTAATCATTATGGTGAGCTTTATATCTAGGACAAGAGGAACAATTTTCCCTATTTTGGTTTGCAAGGGCCAATATAGTCCATTTGTTTGAGATTGGGAGAAATGTTCCCAATCCAGAATGGAGCATGTTGTTGTTGTTGTTGTTAATTGCGAAGTCGTGTCCGACCCATTGCGACCCCATGGACAATGTTCCTCCAGGTCTTCCTGTCCTCTACCATCTTCTGGAGTCCATTTAAGTTCACACCTACCATTTAAGTTCACACCTACCACACCTCCATTTAAGTTCACACCTACCCATTTAAGTTCACACCTACCCAGAATGGAGCATATAAATAGATAAATAATAGAATTGTTGATATTCGGGCAATATCAACATTTAATAAATTATAGTTGGTTGCAGAATCAGCCGACGTTTTTACTGGATTTGGCCTTTTTATCCCCCGATCCAGCCCTTCCCAAGGACTGGGGATAGGCAGATGTTTGCAGGTGTTAAATAATAATAATAATTAATAATTTAAATGGGACTATATTTAAATAATCTCAATCAATAGAGAACCTAATACTGTTTTAACTTCCACTATGCTTAACCTAGCTAGGCAGTTAAAGATCTATTTGATGCAATTATGCAACATATGAAGCTTGATTAGACGTAACCTCACACATTTCCTTTTTGCGGCTTAGCATGTTATATGAAACCAGCCCAGTTGGTTAGTTTATGATCCAATGTGCTGGGTGAGCACAGAGGGTAGAGTTAAGAGTGTTGTGTGAACACAACAGCTGCTTTGCCTCCAGATTCCTGAGCACCAAAGAAAGGCTTCCATAAATGCCATTTTCCCTCAAGATATGAATACCTGAGTACTGATGATGTTACCTAGTTGGGTAATGAAACGTCTGCAAGAAAACAACTAAGCTCAGAGAGCACCAAGGACTCCTCATTTCTACCTTGAGCTATTCTCCTTTATTAGTACTTGAATCCTAATTGTCTGCTACTTTGTTAAGCATCAAATATTTGGTAGTTGTTTCCAGATGTGCCATTTCATCATGTCTTAGAATATAAGGGTTGGAAATCACTTCGAGGGGGGGGTCATCTAATCACCCCAAATAATGTGCTTAAACTCTAAATACTTGCAAGAATGGAAATCAAGAGCAGTTAGCGTGTAAATGAAAGGGTGAACTCAGTTAGCAGTCAAATTTCAGGAGAAATTCAAGAGAATTTCTCTTAATTTTAAGTGCCTATCTGGTCTAAGTTTATTTTTTTAAAAAAAAACATTCCAAAGGATTTTGGAATTTCAATTTTAAAAAATAAAATAGACCTCAGTGGTTTGAAATCTCTTCTGTCCTGTCTCAGTTGATTCCCTAGATTATTATAAGGATGAAAAATGTTCCTAAATAGAACGGAGCTGGGCTCAGAATAATTAAGATAAACCTCTGGGAAGTGACTGGGCTCCATGTACGCCTAGATCTGATCTTGCTTGCATCCGGAGTCAGTCGGGATAAAATTCCTCTGTTAATCAGAAATGCTGGGTTAATCCTAAGTGGCAGAGGTTGGTCTAGATGACTTTTGGGGTCCTTTCCAGCTCTTCAATTCTGTGGTTCTAGGGACACACTTAAAAAGTGGGAGAAATCAACCCAAAACGTCTTCTTTCATAGGGCAATCCTTCTGAAGCTTGGCAACTTTAAGATACGTGGACTTCAACTCCCAGAATCCTCAAGCTAGCCATCCACCCATCTTCATTTCATAAGCCCCCCCCTCTTCTCAACTTTGGACCAAGATTCCCCCTCCCAAATTCCTGCAGCCAATTTTTGCTCCCCCTAAGCATGCTAACACACACACCCCTCCATTCCTGCGATCCCGCCAATGTGGTTAGCAAGCAAAGTGGTGTTTTTTTGTTTTTTTTTTAGAGAGAGATCAGGTCTCGGAAGATCACAACTCCGCTCTTCCAGGATGGACCACAAGAGCCGCTTACAGCGCAGGGCCGCCGTTAGAGCGCCCGAGAGCGCTTAGCAGCCCCCCTCCACCTCGCTTGCGCTTGTTGCGCTTGTCCTCCGGGAACTCGCTTTTCGCTCTCCCGAGGCGGAATCTGGTGGCCGGGAGTTCCACAGCGAGTTGGTTGCAAAGTTAGTTAGAATGGTTCCCGAAAGCAAAGCTGTGTGTGTGTGTGTGTGTGTGTGTGTGTGTGTGTGTGTGTGTGTGTGTGTGTGTGTGTGTGTGTGTGTGTGTGAGACAAGCGGGGAGTGGGAAGGGGAGCCCCGGCGCTCGCCGGGTGCATGCGTGTGTGTATGGGGGAGGGAGGGGGGTGAAAAGGGAACCCTGTGTGTGTGTGTGAAGAGTAGGAAGAGGACCCCAGACGCGCGTCCGTGTGTGTGTGTGTGTGTGTGTGTGTGTGTGTGTAACAAGTGAGAAGGGGAGCCCCCACGCCCGCCGGGTGCATGCGTGTGTGTATGCCACGGAGGGGGAGAGTGAAAGGGGAACCCGTTTTTGTGTGTGAGAGAGAAAGAGGAGGAAGAGGAGCCCAGACGCGCGTCGCGTCCGTGTGTGTGCGTGTGTGCGTGTGTGTGTCCGTGTAACGAGTGGGAAGGGGAGCCCCGATGCCCGCCGGGTACATGCGTGTGTGTATGTCACGGAGGGGGAGTGGAAGGGGAACCCCGTTTGTGCGTGTGAGAGAGAGAGGGGGGGGAAGAGTAGTAAGAGGATCCCAGACGAGCAGTCGCGTCCGTGTATTTGTGTAACAAGCAGGGAGTGGGAAGGGGGGCCCCGACGCCCGCCGGGTGCATGCGTGTGTGTATGTGTGTCACGGGGGGGGGAGGAGAGAGTGGGAAGGGGAATCCCGCGTTTGTGTAATTTGTGTGTGTCAGGGAGGAGTAGGAAAAGGAGCCCGGGACGCGGGTCGTCTCCGTGTGTGTGTGTGTGTGTGTGTGTGTGTGTGTGTGTGTGTGTGTGTGTGACAAGCGGGGGGTGGGAATGGGGATCCCGTCTCTCTCTCTCTCTCTCTCTCTCTGTGTGTGTGTGTGTGCGTGTGTGTGTGCGTGTGTACTGTGTGTGCATCAAGAGTGCTGCGGGAAGAGAAGCCCCGCCGTCCCGCAAGAGTGTGTGTGTGTGTGTCAAGGGGAGAATGGGAAGTCCCGCGGTCCCCCCTCCCTCCCTCCCTCCCTTACCGAGCATCTTGCTAAGCACGGCGTTGTGCAGGTCCGGGTTCTGCTGGGCCAGCCGCTTCCTCTCGTCCTTGGCCCAGACCATGAAGGCGTTCATGGGGCGGCGGATGCGCGAATCCTCGCCGCCGCTGCCGCCGCTGCTCTTCCCCTCGGCGCGGCCCGGGACGCCGCCGCCGTAGCCATAGCCGGCCGAGACCGCTGCTGCTGCTGCTGCTGCCGCCGCGGCGGCGTCGGGGCTGGGAGTCGGGCTGGGCGCCGCCGAGCCCAAGAGCGCGCCTCCGGGCTGGGCCGCCGCCGCCGCCGCCGCCGCTGCGGCGCCGGGGCAGAAGGCGAAGGCGGGCTCGGGGCTGGGGGAGCGGCTGGGGACGATGGGCCGGCTGGTGCGCGGGGGCGGCGGCGGGTAAGCGAGCCCCGGATCAGGCGCGGCGGGGGCGGCGGCTGCGGGCGGCGGGGCGGCAGCCGCGACGGCTCCCCATGAAAAGTCGCCTCGGGCTTGCGGAATCTCCTCTGCACAGAAAGGGGGCTCAGGTCTATTCATTCCAGCTGGACGCAGCTCTGGGGATCGACGCCGAGCGAGAGGCGGAAGCGGCGGGACGGACGGACGGACGGCGGCCCAAAGCGGCGAAGCTACGGGAGCCCGACGACGACGACGACGACGGCGGCCGAGAGCGGACGCGGGGCGAGCGGAGGCGAGCGGCGTCGGGCGGACGGCGGGCGGTGGGCGCGGTCCCTTCGCTGCTGGGCGGGGGCGGCTCTGTCCTCCGGCCGAAGGAGGACCAGCGGGCTGGAAGGATCCGATCCGTCGAGGGGCCACATTATAAAGGCTTCGCGCGCGGGCGGGGGAGGAGGGAGGAGGGACGGAGCCCGGGAGGGAGGGGGGCAGGGGAGGAGGAGGAGGAGGAGGGAGGGGGGGGGCGTCCGGGCTTGGAAAACCGACCTCGCGCTCCGCTCCGTTTCCTTTTGTTTTTTTCCAAGGAAATGGGCGGGGCGGGGTGGGAAACGGCCTCTCTTCCTCGCCCCCCTCGCTGCCCCCCCCCCACCACCACGACCGTCCGCTTTCGTTGGCTGCTGGAGCGGCGGCAGAAGCGGCTCAAATCTGCTTGTAACAAGCGAGGGAGGGGCGGGGGCGAGAGGAACGGGGGGCGGATGGGTAGAGCAGCCTCCGAGCTGGTCTGGACGCAATCGCGGGACAGCTGGTGGGGTGGGTGGGTGGGGGCTTGCTTGGAGGAGCGCGAGGGAGGGGTGGGGGCGAAGAGTTTTCCTTCCTTCCCTCTCACCCACCGACTTATTACCCATCTACCTTCCCCTCTTCCTTCCTTTTTTGCTTCCTTCCACGTCGAAATCAGCTCTTTCTTTCTTTCTTTCTTTCTTTCTTTCTTTCTTTCTTTCTTTCTTTCTTTCTTTCTTTCTTTCTTTCTTGTCTCTTCTCTTTCTCCCTTCCTCTTTTTCTCCATCCATCCATCCATCCATCCATCTCATTTCCTCTTTTCTTTTCCTTCCTGCCACCCTTCCTTCCTTCCTTCTCTGGGGGGCTGACTTCCCACACTTCCTACCTTCCTACCTACCTACCTTCCCCTCTGTTTCCTTCCTTCCTTCCTCTCTCTCTCTTTCTTACTCTTTCTCCTCCCTCTCTCTTTTTCTCCATCCATCCATCTATCCAAATCATCTTCCTTCCTTTCCTCCCTGCACCCATCTTTTTTTTCCTTCCTTCCTTCCTTCCTTCCTTCCTTCCTTCCTTCCTTCCTTCCTTCCTTCCTTCCTTCCTTCCTCCCTGTCTGCCTGCCTGCTTTTCCTTCCTTCCTTCCTTCCTTCCTTCCTTCCTTCCTTCCTTCCTTCCTTCCTCACTCCCTGTCTACCTGCCTGCCTCTCCTTCCTTCCTTCCTTCCTTCCTTCCTTCCTTCCTTCCTTCCTTCCTTCCTTCCTTCCTTCCTTCCTCACTCCCTGCCTGTCTGCCTGCCTCTCCTTCCTTCCTTCCTTCCTTCCTTCCTTCCTTCCTCACTCCCTGTCTGCCTGCCTGCTTTTCCTTCCTTCCTTCCTTCCTTCCTTCCTTCCTTCCTTCCTTCCTTCCTTCCTTCCTTCCTTCCTTCCTTCCTTCCTTCCTGTCTTTCTTCTTTTTTCCGTTTCCCCCTGACAACATGTTTTTTCTTAGCACATTTTGCTATCCTCTTCCTTCCAGCCGCTCCACTTTCTTCTCCTGAAACCTAAAGACACGACCAAAACTTTTTCAGAGCCTGCCTGCACTGGCCTCGCTGCAAGGCTTGTTTAAAAGGGGATGTTTGCGCTGGGAGCGGGGTTGGATTCCAAGCCCCTGAGCAAGAAAGAAGGAAAAAGGGAAAAAGAAAGGAAGAAAACCAGCAGAGGGAGAGGAGGATGGGTCCAGGTTTGCACACGAGGAGAGGAGTAATTTGAAAAAATGGTTTGTCGTGTGGAAGATTTTGAGAGCGATAAACTGGTGGCTGTCAAAGGGGGCTGCAGATATTCATGGACGGCTCCTTAATCCTGGAGATTCAACATTTCCTCTAGGTTGGGGACAGCTTGCCTCAACACTGGAGGTTTTTAAGGAAAGATTGGACAGCCACTTGTCTGAAATGGTGTAGGGTTTCCTGCCCGAGCAGGGGGTTGGACTAGATGACCTCCAAGGTCCCTTCCAACTTTACTACTATTACTATTACCTCCAAGGACCTTTCCAGCTCTGTTATTCTATTCTGTTCTGAATAGGTATCGGGTTATGACTGATGGGAGGACCAAAATACTGGACTGAGGCAGCCCTTGGAAGATGTACCTGGGCAGTCCTAGGATGCTGAGATGTCAGTCTCTAAACTGGGGGGGGACAGTCTTGTTTTAGGCTTCTGATCTTTTAAGAAGCCCCCCAAACTTCTACCTCAGCAGTCAACACAAGATAAGTAGGGATTAACCCCAGACAAACAAGCAGTAAACATCAGTCTAATCAAGGACCTATCAAGGAGAAAGCCACACCCTGATCAAAATGGGCCGATGTACACATAAGTGGTGCTCAGCTTAACAACAGTTGATTTAGTGACCGTACAAAGTTACAACGGCACTGAAAAAAGTCACTTAGGACCTTTTTCCTCACTTGCAACTGTTCCAGCATCCCCATGGTCACGTGATCAATATTCGGATGATTGGCAACTGGTTCATATTTATGACAGTGGCAGTGTGTCCTGGGGGGGTCATGTGATCCCCTTTTGCGACCTTCTGACAGACTCAATGGGAAGCCAGATTCACTTAACAACCGTGTTACTCACTTAATAACTGCAAGGATTCATTGAACAATGGAGGCAAGAAAAGTAGCAAAATGGGGCAAAACTCAACCAATGATTCACTTAGCCGCATAAATTTTGAGCTCAGATGCGATCGCAACTTGAGGACTGCCTGTAAACCAGTGGTTCTCAACCTTTTTAATGCCGTGACCTCCAACCGGTCGTAAGTCGAGGACTACTCAACTGGTGCAGCACCATTTGCAGAAGGGGACTTTTGGCGGGCTCAGCAGGGCAGAGACAGCCTGAACAATTCCTATTGGCTTTTGAAAGCCAATAGAATTAGACTCTATTCAAGAGAGTCTATTCTATTGGCTTTCAAAAGCCAATAGAATAAAAGGGAGTAGCACAGCTAAGGAAAAGGGGGGAAAAATGGCGGACTGCGTTGTTTGGCGGCCCCCGTGAAATGGTCGTTCGACCCCAAATGGGGTCCCGACCCACAGGTTGAGAACCACTGCTGTAAAGAGAGAGCAAATGTTAACTACAAAAGATGTTAACTACAAAAAAGATGTTGAGAGTTTGGAAAAAGTGCAGAGAAGAGCAACGAAGATGATCCAAGACCTGGAGACTAAAACATACGAAGAACGGCTGCGGGACTTGGGTTTGGCTAGTCTATAACAAGGGTCCCCAACCCTGGGTCCATGGACGAGTACTGGGCCGTGGCATGGCAGCAATTGGTCCGCACAAACAAGCAAAGCACCATCCGCGAGATGCAGGCAGCACACAAAACCACACACTCTCCGGTCCATGGAAAAACCTCTCTCCATGCACCGGTCCCTGCTGCCCAAAAGGTTGGGGACCTCTGATCTAAAGAAAAGAAGAAAGTAGTGACATAATAGTATTCCAGTATTTGGGGGCTGCCATAAAAAGGGGGGGCAAATTATTCTCCAAAGCACCAGAGGGCAGGAGAAGAAACAATGGATAAAAACTGACCAAGAGAGAAGCAACCTGGAATTAAGGAGAAACTTCCTGACAGTTAGAATAATTAACCAGTGGAACAGCTTTGCTTCCAGAAATTGTGGAAGCTCCATCACTGGAGGTTTTTAGGAAGAGACTGGACAGTCACTTGTCTGAGATGGTATAGGCTCTCCTGCTTGAGCAGGGGGCTGGACTAGAAGACCTCCAAGGTCCCTTCCAACTTCTATTCTATTCTATTCTATTCTATTCTATTCTATTCTTCATTCCTATATCATTCTATCCTATCCTATCCTGTCCTGTTCTGTTCCATTCCGTTCCATATTTTCTATTCTATTCTATTCTATTCTATTCTATTCTATTCTATTCTATTCTATTCTATTCTATTCTATTCTATTCTATTCTATTCTATTCTATTCTACTCTTCATTCCTATATCATTCTATCCTATCCTATCCTATCCTATCCTATCCTATCCTATCCTATCCTATCCTATCCTGTTCCATTCCATTCCGTTCCATATTTTCTATTCTATTCTATTCTATTCTATTCTATTCTATTCTATTCTATTCTATTCTATTCTATTCTATTCTATTCTATTCTATTCTACTTTATTCCATTCCATTCCATTCCATTCCAGTTGGGTAATGAAATGTCTGCAAGAAAACAACCCAGCTCAGAGAGCACCAAGGGCTCCAAAGCCCCAGGTGGTTCTACAAGTAGTCCTTGACTTAACGACACAATTGTGCCCCAAATTTCTGTTGCTAAGTGAATGAGCTTTGCCTCATTTTACGACCTTTCTTGCCACAGCTGTTAAGGGAATCACTGCAGTTGTTAAGTTAGTAACACGGTTGTTAAATGAATCTGGCATCCCCCATTGATTTTTGCTTGTCAGAAGGTCGCAAAAGGGGATCACATGACCCCGGGGACACTGTGCACCGTCATAAATATAAATCAGTTGCCAAACGTGACCACAGGGATGGCCTTTGAACTCTGGTGCTGGAGAAGACTCCTGCGAGTCCCCTGGACTGCAAGGCGTTCAAACCGGTCAGTCCTAGAGGGGATCAACCCCGACTGCTCTTTAGAAGGCCAGATCCTGAAGTGGAAACTCAAGTACTTTGGCCACCTAATGAGAAGGAAGGACTCACTGGAGAAGATCCTGATACTGGGAAAGATGGAGGGCAATAGAAGAAGGGGACGACAGAGAAGGAGGTGGCTGGATGGAGTCACTGAAGCAGGAGGCGTGAGCTTAGATGGACTCCAGAAGATGGTAGAGGACAGGAAGACCTGGAGGAACGTTGTCCATGGGGTCGCGACGGGTCGGACACGACTTCGCAATTAACAACAACAACAATAGTCATAAATGTGAAAAATGGTCGTGTCCCTTTTTTTTAGTGCGGTTGTAACTTCAAACAGTCATTAAATGAATAGTTGTAAGCCAAGGATTACCTGTATGTATTGGCATGAGCAAGGCATGGTTAGGGTTATTAATAATAATAATAATAATGAGGAGGAGGAGGAGGAGGAAGAAGAAGAAGAAGAAGAAGAAGAAGAAGAAGAAGAAGAAGAAGAAGAAGAAGCAGCTGTTGTTGGAGGTCATCTAGTC